TATTTTTCATTCAGAATCACTTTCTGGCTCAAACATGTTTGACTGAATGTGACATCTGTGTAGCGTAGAGTGAATGGACAGAGTTGGAGCAGTCGTGGGTGAGCTGGAGTGCTGGAGCTGCAGCGGTGGGTGGGAAGAAAAAAATCATTTTAAAGGCATAAAGTGAATGTTTTAATGGAAAAAATATGAAGAAATATAGTTGGAATAATTTAGAAATGGGGTTTTAAATGTCAGATATCCAGCAGAAGAGCAGTAGAACTACAGCTGGAGTCACACGAGAAGCTTTTTTATGACTCAAATGTGCAAATAGACCCAATAATCCTGGATCCAAGCTTCCCTCCCATTGTTTTTATCGTTAAACTGTATTTAGACTTTCTCATACTGTCGTTTTAACTGCATGATTTTGCACTTATTTCTACCAACAGCTCAATTTGTACGTTACGCATGTGAGCTCCTGGATGCCTTGAGGTGAATAAAATATCTATGTAAACTTTTGCACCTTTAAATGAACAGCCTAGCAGATGATTAGAGGTGTCTGTCTCTTCTGAACCTCCGTGTCCTGGTGCTCTCTGAGCCTCAGCAGCTCAGACTGCAGAACCCGGAGGTCCATCAGCTGTTTTTACAGGCTGACAGGCAGCATCCGGCTGACAGCAGGATGGACTGTCAGGCCCTCAGCAGCTCCACTGTGGGCTTCCTGGCCTAAGCAGGACTCCCTCTGTTCCACCTTGGACATGAACGTCTGAGCGGAGCTGCTGTCTCCGCCTGACGCGGCTCACCACCAACTTTAAAGTTAGTTGCATCCGGCGGCTCTGCAGCAGCGTAATTCGGTTAAAGGTGTCCTCCACACACACACCTGTTCCAGCTGGAGAAATGAATGAATAGCGAGCAGCGTGTGGAGAAACGGGGCCAAGCGGCGGAGCTCTCACCTTCAGTCCCGCCGCAGGAGCCTACAGCCCGGACCGGACAACCATCTCAGCGGGCGGACGGGGGCCGAGCGGCGGCGTCGCTTCGCCTCCTTTCTCCCGGATTTAGCTCCGTTGTTACGACCTGTGCTCTTGTTTTTAGCCCCGTGTTTTCCGACTGTGACACTACACGTCTGACTGCTGCCTCCTCTACAGCAAAAAGCCCGCTTCCACTCCGACCCTTCAGTATAAACCTTCACTTTGGACGGACGCGACGACTGCAGCGCTACGGAATGCTGGGTGCTTTTATTTTGAAACGCGAACGCGGCTCACTTCCTGCGCCGACTCGGTGTTTGGTCTCTAACTTGACTCCGCAGCTCCAGACCAACCCCCAGATCCAGCAGCTTCCCGAATGTCTGCGGCTTTTATTTCTGCCCACACAGCCCGGGGGTTGTAGGTTTTATACTGGAAGCGAAAAATGAAGCGTCTGGAAATAAAAGCAAGTATATTTTACATCATCCGAAGTCGTCATCCGGCCCAGCCTATCACAGGCCGCTGACCTTTTTCATCACAAGTGACGTTTTTAAGGTCACTGGCGGAGGCTTGGCTGTAGTTGGTTCATCCTCAGGACCGGAGCTGGAGGCAGAGCATCACCGCTGCTGGCTCATTACAACACGCATCATTTCTGTCCTCACTGCGCCGTTTACTGACAAAATCTAATTTTAAAATGTCAAAATGTCCTGTTTTTACTTTATCGTAACAATAAATTCAGTTTAGAGGAATAATAATGTTATAATAAAGCAGCAGCTTTCAAAACTGAAGCTACAAGGTTTAGAAAACAGTAAAATATCAAAAAGCAACAATAAAACATCAGTTAAGACAATAAATGATTTTAAAACTGTACGTATGACGCATACATCTGGCAGGTGTTCATATTATTTGGTCACTTATCCTAATTGTTATATTTACATGCATCTCTCTTCTCATTGTCATTGGTTGTTCTGTACTTGTGACATGTGCAATGACAATAAACCTGATTCTGATCTAACACCTATATTATATTACAGCTTATTCTACTTACATCCTCATAACATCGACACCACTCTGTTCACTCTGTTCATGCTGTATTACACCGTATAGATTCATTAGAAGTCTTGGCTATTCATATATATTTGGTCTACTTACTGCCCTCAAAGCTTTTCCACTCAGACACTGAACTGCACTTTTACTGCTTCTTGTGCACGTCTGGTTATTTCAGTCTCTCACGACTTTTGCTCTCAGCAGTGACAATAAAGATAAAGCTACTAAAATGTGCAGTAAAGTGATAAAAAATTATTCTTCCTTAACAATTACAATAAATCATCTCTATATTAATTCAGTATGTGTCCTACAGTGGTGGCACGAGGCAGTTATATAGTTGGGGGGGAGCGATGTTCACACTTATTAATTTATTCAAATTATTGCATAATGGATTTTGTTTTAGAGAAGACAGCATGAAGCAGTAAATACAACATCCAGGAGCATTTCTGCAGTAAAACGCAAATGCTGCAGAGATACATATCTGTTAAAATCACTTTTATTCACATTTTAGAAAAATATAGACGAAATTTTTAAAAAAATACAAACAAATAAAAGCAGTTATACAACAACATACACTCAGATGGCATCAAACTGTTGTAGTTCAGCAGCAAAAACAAACCTGACATCTAAATGACGCCTTCTGTGTTCTGAAATCGTCCCACTTTTACAAACCTGCTGCTTGCAGAGCTTGACAGAACAACTGTAAGCTGCATCATGAGCTCTGGTGTGGCTGTGATCGCTCAGACTTATCTGCTGGTGTCACTGCAGAAACATGCAAACAATCTTTTCGGTCCAGACGGCGTCCGAACACCCACGTGTGAAGAGATTCAGAGCATCAGAGAGCCCACTGGACTGTAAACACCTCTGACATGGGGAGGGCCAGATTAGTTACCGTTAAAACCTGCAGGAAGGAACAGAAAGAAGCCACATGAACAAACGAGCAACAGGAGTGAAGGAGGTCTGAGGCGTGTTACTGTGGACGACAAGCAGGAAACTCACCTCAGTGTCAGCGCGATACGTAACATCTCGGACTTCCTCCCCGTTTGCTAAAACGAAGCGAGGAGGTGAAGGAACTCCGAACACCTGCAGGCCTCCCAACACCAGACCGTCCAGGGCTCCGTTCAGGTCCACCGGCTCACTCACCACCTGAGACTGAAGCAGAGGTGCAGCGTTTATAACAGAACCCGACAGGTACCACCAACGTCAGTCAGCTGGATCGCTGAGTGAAGCAGCAGCAGTGAAACGTCCCTCCTCTGCTCCCCACCTGTCCGGCTATGAAGACCACATAACAGTAATTCTGCGTCTCAAAGGTGTCGAGACTTTCGCCGTCATCCCAGAACAAGTCGCCCCGGGCCCAGCCGCCCGCCGACAGCGCCACCGTCAGGAAGAAAGGGTTCCCGCGGGAGGCTGTGGTGGTCAGAGCAGGCTCCTTCACGAGGAAAGATAAAGGAGAACACCATGGGATGTGCTGCAAAGGGCGCTCTTATTTTGAAATGCTTTTCAACTTTAAGGGGTGAACAAAAATAATTCTTAATCTCATGCAAAAGAGCTTCTCATGCCTCACAGAGGAACTGATGTAATAATTACAGCAACACAGCAAGCTGCTTGTTCATTTTAGTCCAACCTCAAATATGGTTTAGTTCATTAGAAGCTGAATTTTTAAGGAATTCATAGTCGATGCTTCACCTGCTTCAGCTTTGGCCTGTGCTGAAACTAAAAAGGCCTTCTGAGGAAACGTCCAGAGCAGACACCCACCTGCTGGGGGATGACGTGTCCCTCCCTCACGTGAACATTAATAGTGTCCAGAGGGGCTTCAAGGAGCAGATACTGACCCCCGCTGTAGAACGGCCGGCCCTGCGCAGAGCAAAAAGGGGAGCTGGTGAACACCAACCAGGCTGGCTGATTAAACTCCAGCTCATACGTTCCAGCTGGTATCGTTGGTCAGGTTTGGTTCAGGTACTCACATCGTGCAGACTGTACCAGGTGCCGGCGGGCAGGTATGCAGCCAGCTCCACTGCCCCTGGCTCTAAAACCGGACTAATGAGGAGCGAACTCCCCCACAAGAACTGTCTGTCTATGGTCTGACAGTTCGGGTCGGTCGGAAACCTGAGAGGCAAAAACAAGAGATAAAAAGTGCACTGTGATTGGGGCTGACACCGATGCTGATTATTGGTGATCAAAAAAGACCAACGACCGACACTAGGGGCTGATGTACTCTAAATGCAATGTTTTGGCGCGTGTGACAGCAGAGAACCTGTCAGTCATAACGAGGATTAGTCTTCAATAACTGGATATGTAAAACAGAATCAGGACACTCTGCTTTATGTTGGATCCACTGAGATCTCACTGTTCTGTCTGTACATTTTCTATCTGTTCCAGGTGAATCTGTAGCTGCCTGCTAACTTAACCGCTAGACGTTAGCATTAGCCACCATGAGAGAAGCTAACTTCCTGGTTTGTGTTTCTTGTTCAGTTTTCCTGCCTGAGAGAGGAGCTGCATCACAGCTGAGGTATTTAATCTATCAATAATCAGTCAGTAAAATTACAGACAGTCGTTAAATGCCAGTTATCAGCCACAATGATTGGCCAGGCCTGTAGCCAGTCCTTCCCTAGATCTTAATTATTCCGTTTTAATCAGTGCAGCAAAGGATCAAAAGGAGTAAACGCGTACTCCATGAAGAGAGGCCGGGCCACCGTGTCAGCAGAAGTGTGTGCGTGATGGAAGAGCGTGTAGAGGAACGGCAGCAGAGAGTATCGGAGGTTCAGCGCCGTCCTCATGGCCGCCTGGGCCTTCTGCCCAAACACATAGGGCTCCTGAGGCTGAGGGGCAGAAACACAAAGAGATCAGATAGAGTTACCTCCATTCATAATGCATGAAACAGAGGGACTGATCCGTGGAAGGAAACGTGCAGCACAGACCCCCAGTGGACC